GATCCATTTACTGAAGCTCACTAAGTATGTTATGCTTTGTTTTTCTGTGTCCCTCTTGCCTTCAATCTGTCCTGTGAGTATCAGATTTTCCAAGTCCTCTTTTCTCATTGTGTCCTTGAAATTTCAATTCTCTACCTGATGTTAAGTATGTTTCCTTTTTGTTTCCATTTTCTCTAAAACTTTGTCATTGCTCACATATTTGGTCCATAGTATCCTCAGCATCCTTCTGTAGAACCACATTCCTGTTGTTTCAAGTCTCTTCTCCATCTTTGAGATTATCCAGCATTCATTGCCATATAGGAGGACAGATATCACAAAAGCAAAAACCTTAAGGCAAATACTACAAGAAAACATTGAATGGAGAAAAATATGTATGTAAGGTTTTGTTTTGGTTTGGCTTTATATCTTACTGTTCCCTCCCCCTAAAAAAAAACAAAAAACAAAAGTACATTAAAACAATTCAAACTGGATCTGATCCTTAAAAAATGTGAAAAATTTTTCTCTCCTAAAAAATAAAATGGCAGCTGAGGCACAAAAAGAAATATTAAACAAGATAATACAGAACTAAAAAATTACAATGCTTGCAAATTGCTGAATCTAGTTCATGCTGATTGACTATAATAAAAATGTACACACACTCAATATTTGCTAGTCTACAACATGCATTCTTAACAAGACTTTAAAAAAGCAAAAACGTTTCTACTAAGTATAATTCATTTTGATCCTTTTGTGATCAGCCATCCTCCAAACCCATAATATGAATATATTGGATTCAGTGCAATATCTACATTTAATAAATGAATTCAACTCAGCAGTTGTTTTGTTAATACAGATTTGCATAGAAAAGATGATCAGATTTAAAAAATAACCCTATTATTGTGCAATTCATACAACTAAGTGATTATTCCATTTGACCAATGTTCTGTTTAACAATTGTATTTATAAATATGGGTCTCATTGGCCGATAGTTGTGCTATACACTGTATGATATATTTTGGTAAAATGTGATGGTCTGAACCTAACATCTACTCAGATATTACCAAATACATACATAGGTGTATGTATATATATATATATATATATATATATATGTACACACTGACTTTTTTTTATCATTTTACCCCATGTAAGGCAATAATGCCACTAAGATGCTATTGGAAGTGGAAGAGAATGAGAAAATTTTAATGAGAAGAAAAGACAATAAAAGAACAGGGTTCAGGAAGACAAAAGGTGACAATTCATGTTTTATTTAAATTTTTGAAGATTGTAGGTGACAGGGAAGCAAGTAATCAGAAGTGAGTTCCACAGGTAAGAAGTTTAAGAAAATAAACTATTAGAATAGAATTTATGGTTGCATCTAGCTTTTTCAACAGTAAAACAATGAGACCGGGTAGCCAATCTACTAAAATGCTTAAATTCATGCAGTCAATGTACCAAGAAGAAGAACTCATTAGAACAATTGCCATGAAAAAATTTCTAGAAAAGACAGAGGGAAGCCACATCATGGCAGTGGGATAGTGACTGAAGTGAAGATGACAGGTCAGGACTGATAAAACCACAGACCTTTCTTTGGATTTCATTGAGAAACTCAAATATCTGGAGCATCAAACCAGATATAGCAGCAACATTCATTGTATGGACAAATGGGAGATTTAAAAATCTGCAAGATGGATTCTGATGGGAAAAATTGTCTGACAGATCATAGTGAACTAACTTTCTTAGCAGTACACCTAGCAATTGATTCAATATAATTGTTCCACTTTATGTCAGGAGAAAACATGAGACCAAGAAGATGTAATGAGTTGCACTCCTGGAGGTTAGCATCAGCCATGCTGATGGAGGACAAAAATAGTTCTTGATGATTATTAAAGGATAGCAGTTTCATTTTGGAGGTACTAAAATTTACAAGCCAATTCTTGTCCCAATTAACAACTGAATAGAGGTCATTTTCAAGAGCAACTGCCAGTTTTTGTTGAACTCATTGGATTACTATTAAGTCAAGAGCAAACAGTTATGTCATCAGCATAAATACCTAATTGAGAACTGATTACATTGGAAAGGTTATTGATGAAGATAAGAAACTATGTAGGTCCAAGGATAGAGCCATGGGGGTCCTCTGCTTTAAAGTGAAATGATCTAGAAGCAAGGATGTTCAACACAATTTTCATTAAAGTAAAGATACCTAATTAATTTTTTAAAAATTGTTTTGTATTATCATTAATAATTGTGAATCAAACTAACCTTGTTAACCATTACCCCATACTAAAGTCCCTACTGATACTAGTTTACATGCCATAAAAAATGAGGATATATGAATGTAATAATTATTCTTGTCGGGGAGGGATCAGTTTAATACTTAATAAGAATAGAAAAAAAAATCCCCCACTTTATGTTCCTTATAATTTTGTATTAATCCTCAGTTAGGTTGGTTGAATTCACATCAACTCTTGTTGGGTTAATGACAAGTTTTATATACGGCACTCAGTCAGAACTGACTTTACTTTTCACTAGTAATGGTCAACCAGGCAAGTCTCAATAACCAATTACTTCATGCTGAGGTACCTCCTTTATTTCTAACATTTATTTCATTCTATTATGTTGCTAGATTATAAAACATCAATTTGGCAGATTACCATTTATTTTAGTAAATTTATATAAATATTTCATTTATCTTTTGAATGATCTTGAAGCTACCAGTCAAAAGAGGAACAAAGAATTAAAATAAATGATATTTAACCAAATTAATGTTTATATAATCCATTTTCTTTGCTTAAAAAATGTCATTAAAAGATTAAAAACATTGAAAAAAATTCAAAAGTAAGAAAAATGGATTCCACTTCTGTTATGACCTCATCATCTTTATTTTATGGAATGTGAACTAATCCTAATGCCAAACACAGTCTTAAATCAAATGTTACCCCTATGTTATATGAAAATGGGTCCTCATGGTCTAATAATGCTGCTTCTAAAGTGTATGTGATTAATATGATTAGAAATGTAAAAATTTGAAACGATAACAACATAGTGGCATTTAATAGAATTACACAAAATTAGTCACTTAGTACAGTATAATCATTATGGTTGATTTATTACCAGAATAGAAAAGGAAGGACAGTCTTCAATATCTCAGTCTAAAATTAATCTACAGGGATGCTGAGAGGTCTCTACATTTGTTTCAAAGTGATTTTTTTTCTTTTTTATTACAAATTGCTCCAACTCAGAGATACTGTCACAGTGCAATACTCCAGTGAGCAAATGGCACATTTGAATGAATCTTTGAACAAGGCATTCATTTTTCAAGGCAAATAAGCTGACAAGTTATTGAACTGCACAACATATTGCAAATTTAACAGTGCACTCCACTGCTAAGTGCCTTTCAATATATTGCACAGTTTATTGATATTCAGTCACAAGCCAGTTTCAAAATGTCTTTCCAATACTTCTCAATATTTCTTTTTCATTATATATATATATATATATATATATATATATATATATATATATATATATATATATATATATATATATATATATAGAGAGAGAGAGAGAGATATCACCTGTTTGTCTTTTCATTTTTCTTTAGCTTTTTAATAAATTTTCCTCATTTACACTCTCTTATCCCAACCATATCTCTCTTGGTTTCCCAATCCATGCCTATATTTAGCATAACTGATTACAGTTCAGAAGAATCAGTATCTAACACAGACAATACATTCTTATCCACAGTAGAAAGGAATTCTTAAATACAAACAATTATTCTAATTGGATAAGAAAATCCCACATTTTACATGCCTCTTTGTTTTCTTTCAGAACATTTCACATGCCTAGGTGCCTTCCAATATATTGCACACACTCTATTGATATTCAGTCACAAGCCAGTTTCACTATGTCTTTCATAATACTTCTCAATATTTCTTTCTGTGAAATGTTCAGAAAGAAAACTAAGCGGCATGTGAAATGTTCAGAAAGAAAACAAAGAGGCAGGTGAAATGTTCAGAAAGAAAACAAAGAGGCAGGTGAAATGTTCAGAAAGAAAACAAAGAGGCAGGTGAAATGTTCAGAAAGAAAACAAAGAGGCATGTGAAATGTTCAGAAAGAAAACAAAGAGGCATGTGAAATGTTCAGAAAGAAAACAAAGAGGCGGGTGAAATGTTCAGAAAGAAAACAAAGAGGCGGGTGAAATGTTCAGAAAGAAAACAAAGAGGTGGGTGAAATGTTCAGAAAGAAAACTAAGCGACATGTGAAATGTTCAGAAAGAAAACTAAGTGGCATGTGAAATGTTCAGAAAGAAAACAAAGAGGCATACGAAATTTTCAGAAAGAAAACAAAAAGGCATGTGAAATGTTCAGAAAGAAAACAAAGTGGCATGTGAAATGTTCAGAAAGAAAACAAAGTGGCATGTGAAATGTTCAGAAAGAAAACAAAAAGGCATGTGAAATGTTCAGAAAGAAAACAAGGTGTATAAAATATCTAGAAAGAAAACAAAAAGAAATGTTGATAAAGAAAACAAAGAGATGTGTGAAATGTTTAAAAAGAAAACAGGCATGTAAAATGTTCAGTGTGAAAACAAAGAGATTTGTGAAAATATTCAGTGAGGAAATGAAGAGATGTACAAAATGTTAAAGAAAGAGAACTTCAAAATATGAGGAAAAAAAAAAAAAGAAAATGCTGAACTACTAAGAAAGAAATCAAAGGTGCTAAATATTCAAATGGATAAAGAAGAAAATGATGAAAGAGAAAAAAATAAACATAAATGAAAAAATATTTTTAAAAAATAGGGAAAAATTATGAATTATAAGATTGCTGAGATAACATTCTAGTGACAGCAATTTTGGTTGTTCAATAATCCCTTTTGCAAAGCATAATTTTTATACATACTAGAAAACAGATCATTAGTATAGTATTTATATTGTCTAGATTCTTTATCCAGGCATGAACAGATTGAAATTAAGTGAGCACTAAACATATCCTTTTCGTGCACAAGCAAAGATTCAACTTACCAGTGAATGATGATACACAAACATCCAATCAGAACAAGGATAATGCAGCTCATAACAATCAAAGCAATTCTCATTCCTGAAAAATAATAAAAAGGTGAAATTAAAATCGGTATTTTCCAAAACAACCATGAAAAGAAAAAAATTTCAATTAACCAACGGCAAAATATTATTCTCTTCTGGGCTCAAACAATGCAGGAAACAGTTTGCTTTTGCTTGAACAGGTTAATATAATTATGGAGAGTGGTTTATGTAAATGCTCCCTCATCCACTCTCTTATGAACTATTGTGGCATGCAAGTGATGTGACATTGTTAAGATATGAGGCAAGGAAATAGAGTGCAGGGTGAAGTAAATTCACATCTTTCTCAAGGGCATCAGACTCTCCAAACTTCATCAATCTTGAGGTGCCTTTATAGGGTATGGCAGAAATATCTCTTACATAATGATAAGACCTTTGTGGAAATGGTGTCTTCATCTACCTAATGTCTTACCATTATGTGGGAGGTATTTCTGGGAGTTATTTCTGCCACAGCCTATATATATATATATATATATATGAAATGGACAAAGTCCCACAATTATTTAAAGACATATTTATGTTTATATGTTCTTTTTATAGATAAAAATATTTAAGTAAAACCTCTGTTTATTATAAAAGAACGCATAAACATAAAATGTCTTAAAATAATTGTTGGACTTTGTTCATTTCATAATGTGTGATGTCCTTTGTTTACATTTGGGAATGTAAATGTAAATGTACATATGCATCAAGTAGATATGAATGTACAGGAGAAAATCATGGAGAATTGTAGTTTAAAAACAGCAAAATTGACCTTGCGAACCAAAACGCTCCTCTGTGGCTAAATCAGTAAAGCACATCAGGCTATATGACCGTTCCCCATTCCATGTAGGATACAGGTTCGATTCCTCTCGGAGGATGCATATTTTCTATGAAAATTTCTCAGACATTCAGGCCAGTAAATGTTGTTAATACTGTTTATTATAAACAGAACATTTACTTAAATATTTGTATCTATAAAAAGAACATATAAACATAGAAATGTCTTAAAATATATATATATATAGTAAAGGTAACAAATCCATAGGTATATAATCCAAGTGGATCCTAGTAATATAAAATATTAGAAGTGATCCACAAAAAGAGCTTAATGTATTTATTATTACAGAGCAATATAATTAATAAACAATAAAATCCCAAATCACCTCATATAGGAAATAGCCTATTTCAGCAGACAAAGATATCAGTTGTCTGTCTTAACCCCGGTGTGGACCGAGTTTGTGCCAAAGATAGAAATTTAACTGTGAAAGCTTAAAAAAAAACAAAAAAACACACAATCGAAAAACTAATACGGAATTTATCCATTTCAATGTTTCAGTCAGACAAAAGACACAAGAAAGGGGTCATATGAAGAATGAAATATTAATTTAAAATTAAAAGAGGAATAAAAAAAGGTTTAAATAAAACTTTAAAATATATAGATAAAAGGATGTAAAGGAATTAATGGAAAGAGAGTAAGGAAAGTTTATAAATGATAATATAGTGTAAAGAGGTTATAGAGTGGGGAATATAGAAATTAGAATTAGTTACACATTCAACATTTGAAGAGTTACAGGGGAGTGAATATTATGTAAATATAGTAGCTAATTAAGTTAAACTTACATTATGGAAATTTGAATTTATTTTTATGTCGACATTTTAAAACATAAAACAGACGACCGATATCTTCGTCTGCCGAAATTGGCTATTCCCCATATGAGGTGATTTTGGACTTTATTGTTTATTAATCATATATATATATATGTAAAATTATGTATAGGCAGCAGTCATTCTTTTATACTTGTTTCATTAAAGACAATTGACAAGGTGTTGTGTTTAAGCTTTTGATCAAACTTTTTTTGTAATCATAAAATTGATTTCTTTTCTGGACATAAGGCATGTAAAAATTATTCAAACATTCTGCCTATCTGAGAGCTTTTGGCTATTCTGCTAGCTATTATGAAGGATTTTTTTTAGCTGAATATGAAAATTTATATATATATATATATATATATATATATAGGTATGTATCTATAGTGATGGGAATGTTTTTTTTATTTTCCAAACAGTCAGCATATTATGGCAGTGTTCATAGTGGATTTTACTGAGTACTCGCCTTTTTTTTAGCCTTTTTTTTTTTTTAAACACATAGACGAGGCTATTATATAGTCATATTTTCTATGAGTATGTTGCAGATGGAGTTTTTAAGATTTCTGTGTCCTAATTTAGCTATCATCAGAGAGTTGTCATGTGAGTCTTCTTGATATACATGTAGTGGTATATCCAATGTAAGTATTCATGAATTTGGTTTGATCAGGAGGTATATATGGAAGGTATTTTTGCCACACACACATATATATATATATATATATATATATATATATATATATATATATTTTAAAATTTACATTGAGCCCTCAGGATTTCATCCTCCTTGGGACTAAATTATACACTACATTACTAAGTTTTTTTCGTAACTATATATATATATATATATATATAATTCATTTATTTAAAAAATTTTGATATATCATCGCTAAAATTGGGAAGAGTTAGTCTTTTCACTGTACATGATAAAACAATTTCAAATATCAATATACTGTAATAAATAATTTTCATTTGTTTTGCTTTAGTTTCTAATGAAGAAATACTCTGAAAAGAAAAAAAAAATTATGGGAAAAATTTAGTATGTATATTAATATGATGCAATAGATTTGGGCTCAGGACATGCATGTAGAAGTAGACAGTTGATTTTATCTGAGTCTGAAATGTCTGTTGTTTTTATTACCAACAATAAAGTCTATGAAGTAAGATCTTCAAAGCAGCTACCCACTTGACCAAATGGGATAAAATAAATAGTCCAGTCGAGGAAAGACAGCGAGAGAGTCCCCAATTGTATGCTTAAATTAATTGGACTCAGGGGAATGTTTGAACTTTGTTCCACATGGCAAATGCGTGTGGCTGTAATTAGGAAACATCTTACCTAGTAACAGATAGGTTTACAAGTGTAAAATTATAATTTTTCCTTCTGACAAGAACAATAATTGAGTTTTGAGAAATCTATTTCAAAAAGCAATTTCCCACCCACAAATATATTTTCTACTAGCTGTAAAAGATGCCCTATCAGGAGGCATTTAAGCTAGATCCTGTGGAGGGCTCTTGATTGAGCCTTTAGCTTGTTCAGGAGTTTGAGACTCCCTAAGTCTTTGCATATTCTCAGCATTGGAAGCTCTCCTGGCTGCCGTTTGATCTGGGTTTTCATTTGCACGGGACTTTCTTTTCCTAGCTGCAGACTTGGCTCTTTTGATTGCAATCTGATCCTCTGTTGACAGAGATTTCTTTTTGCATAGCACACTGCTGCCGTATGCAATAGGCAACAATAAACTACAAAAGAAGTCAAAATTGATCACTGCATTTAAGTATTGCATTAATATTTAAGCTTACCTTTTAAAAGTTCAATGATAATTCTTCTGCCACTACTTAATTTCAAGACAAGTTGATGTACATAGGTCCTTACTTTCCACACGAATGATTATTTTTATTTCATAAGTTACTTTCACTGGATTTGGCAATTAATTTCAGTTATTCCTAAATTTATTTCCAAGTTATAAAAATTGTTATTGTACAAAAGAATTTGTTGCAAAAACTTGCCAAAAACAATTGCAGTAATAAAAACTTGGGAATCCAAAATTTCTCGAACTTGAGATATTGAAAGTTAGAGAGTTGTATCCCTTTAATTGAAAAAGTGTGACACTGTGAGACACTGACATTTGCATTTATTATATAGATTTTCAAAGTATTTCTTCAATAGAAACTAACTCGACATAAATTAAATCTGTTTATTACAGTATATTGTTAAAATGGTTCTAATTTATTATTAGTTATTGTTGTTAACCTCTTATTGAACCTAATAAGATCTATGGTAAGAATGAATCTTCAATCTGTTACATAACATTTGTTACAGTATATTGTTAGAATTGTTCAATTTCATTTTTGTTATTGTTAATTTCTTCTTGTATCAAATTCATAAATTAATTTTTATCATAGGTATAAACAGGAAAAACATAGTAAATAATTCTGGGTTTGGTACTATTGTAGTTTTATAAATCAACTAGATCTAGAGATAAAGTGAGATCACTTTATAGTGGAGACTATAGAAAATTCACTTCTCTCTAATTACCTCAACTCAGGTAGCAATAACAGACTAATTACTGTATCTGTTGTTAACCATGAAGAGTAGTGATTAACAACAAAATCTTTTTGGAAATTTTAACTGCACTGAAAAGAAAAATAAACATTTTTAAAGTTTGTTTGATTCTTGAATAAAAAAAAATTAAAACTCAGCCTTCAAATTAGAAGAGTTTATTAAATCAAATTGAGGTTGCAGTCAGCTCACATGACTTTTAGAAATGTAAATCAACTGTTCAGAAATTACTTTGCCAATTTAGGTCAACCAAAAGCTGTTGGCTTCTAACAAGCCAGACATTACACAGACAAAATCATTTGTTGCCTTGACATGGTTTCAGCTCTACTTATTACTGTTTGTTTGCATTACACAAACTGTAATAACTGTTTCAATATATCATTAAAAAATAGTTTACATGACTTGAAGATATTTTTTTAAAAGTCTACTGTAAAGAAAAAAAAAAAGACTAAACTGTAAAAGCATACAACACTGCCCAGTCTGTCACTAAAATTAGTTTCTACTTTCTCTCTAGCATTACTAGTAAATCTACTGATTCGCCTTATTATATTTACATCAAGTGCAGGTTTTCCATAAGTATTCACTATACTATGTTTGTAGTACTGTCTTCTTCCAAAAACAGAAATTCTATGATAATTTTTTGCTTTCTGTCTGTATAGAGAAGAAGCCATTTTGAAAGAGAATTATGGGTAGAAAAGAGAAGGTGACTCCATAATTTTTTTTTTTAATTGAGATCACCCCAAGCAAGATAGTAAAGCCACTAAGACACAATGGGTTTGAAAGAATTAGGAACAGAAACATTACTAATGAGTAGG